GTCGACTTGTTTAGCTGAAGGCTTCCGGTCAAGCATCCCCGCCATTTGGTACCTCGTCGTGTCACGTGCACGATCACTAGCTAGCTAAGCGTTCGTCTAACGGCTTGTTTTGGCTTCTAAATATATCGCTTGGTTTGGACGATCAATTATTGGCTTTTGCTTTGTCTTTGGTACGCGAGAATAAATTAATTAGAAGTTGTTGAACGAGATATCACGTCAAACCTTTAATATCCGTTAACTCCCTAAAGAGGTAATGTCAATGGGTCTAAAGTTGACACATGCTCCAGTGGATGATTTAGGTATGGGTACAACTTTAATGTCCTTCCAAACGGCAGGCACAATATTATCGGAAAAAATATTTGGTAAATAGATCAGTGAGAGGGTGACACAGAATGTCACATTTTTAAAAAATAATATTAGGTACATAATCGGGACCTAAGCTCCAGTAAGCTTTCTTATTACCCAATTTGGATATAAATCAAAAATGAGATTCGGACTTGTACACCCCTGAGTTCTGTTGTGAAATTACTTCAAGCTTTATTTTTTTCCAAGTATTTTTAATCCATCCAAAACATACTTGGGTTTTTTGTTAATGCGAAGACAATATTCCTATGTTTCATGATGTGCTGCATTGAATGACTGGTTATCATATTGTTCCCACAAGCCAAATACAGAAACGTCAGCAACCATGTAATTTAACCGTAAACCAAATTTATGAAATTTAAATAATACTTATCCATGCCTGTACATTTGATGTGTCCTACACAGGTAGGAAAAAATATGTATTTTATTAAAACATTATTATTATTATATATGCTTGCTAATCGTATATGTGATTTATCATATTGATGATGCCTGTAAACTGGCGTCCCTCATGTACAAAATGAGAATATACTATTATTATTATTTGTTAAGAGTACATTCATCAAAGGAATATGGAATATTGTTTATCTGCTTACCACCAGTGATTTCCATAAATAGTTTCCACATATTAGAAGCATTTTTGCAGGATATGAATTTCTGGTCATATATTACATTCAACCTCTGCATTTCAGACTTAATTAAGAAGTTAGTTCTTTTTACACCACTTTTATCTTTCATCTTATACAGTTTTTCATTCTCTCTACGAAGCTTTCCAAGTTGAGACGTGGAGAAATGGTCAAACTTGACAAATAGTGTTTCTTCTGGACAACAGATTTCAAAACAGAATTTCAGATAGGATGTAATATTAGAGATATTGTCATCAAGTGAATCATCATTAAACAAATCCCATCTTGTGTCACTGAGCATGTTTCTAAGATGATGTACGTTCTCATTTGAGTAGCATCTGTGAACAACTTTCTTAGACAAGTTTGAGAAGGCTTTACTGTGTAACTTTCCGTAAATTTTCTGGTAAGACTCGTACAATACAATGATCAGAATTGAAGAGTGGGGCTCTTTTACGAGCTTCGTATATTCCAGAATCATTTATAAATACTAAATCAAGTGAAGTATTTTGTCGAGTTGGGAAATTAAGAAAATTTTCATGGCCCAGCAATGTAATAAAACTGCAGTCGCTGGAGTTGAAGTCGCCAGTCTCTATAGATAAGGAGTTACCAAACGAAGCAGCAGCAAAAATAGTGAATTCATCAGCGAAGATAGATAGTTCTGAGGGACTGCAACAAGGTGTGATTTAGATATTTGTGACAAAAATGAAGCTATACTTACTTATACTGCGTCGGTGGCACAGTGGTTAGGACTCTCGCCGACCATGCACATGGTCCGAGGTTCGAGCCCACGCCGACGCACACCTGATATCTATCTATGGTTGGCCTGCAAAATTTGGGCTACCGATATCCACGCTGAAAATTCCATACTTGTTCCAAAAATAAGGTATGGAATCAAGCTGTAATCTAAAATAAAAATTAAAAAAATAAGTGTTTAGGTCGACATTTTACAGTTATACCTATATGGGTAGCATTTATATTGCAAATGAACTTTGTCGGCGTAGGGAGTTTCCTTTATAAATGTATTTATCAATGATACTTGCACTTACCTATTTCACTACACTTTAACTATTCACCCTAGCACTTCTACTTTTCTAAAACGGCTTCCAATCCCTTTTTAAAAGTTGTACTTACCTCAATATTGGTTGGTTATCGCATGACTACAACCACTGGATGAAAACGAAACGAAGTTGATTTTCCCGCGAAACCTGGAGGACAACTGTACAATGGAATAACCATACGGCCTGGTTCAGACAATGAGTGTATTTATATATATATATCAAATATTTAACTGTTGAAACATTATTAACTTGTAGACAATTTACGGTTTGCTATTATATAATACTTGATCGTGCCTGTAAAAATGGCATGCATTCTCATGTAAATTTATATGTTTATATGAAAATACACATTATCACTATTATTACTCTTATATACCACACTGACGCTGGGTGATTACAAGGACCTAAAACATCAGCTGATTACATGATTATGTAGGTAAGAAATTCTATGATTAAATGATAACATCCACGGGACTAATTCCGTGTATCGCACTTGTCTTTTAATGACCGAGGTTTTAAGACAAATTTCTCCTGGCTGTGGTACCACACAGCGGTAAGATTATGTGGGACGTGTGTGACCTAATATTTGTTGGCATCAGAAAATACAGAGTGAGTATTCTCGGAGTCGTTATCGCTCTTTCCTAATAAGCATTACAACAGTGTTCAGGAAACTTAGTAACTCATTTGGATAAGCTTATTTTTAGGCGTATTACTCGAATTTGGCAAGGAAGAGGAATGTGGATGGGATCTCTATTGTACGCCCTCATATCTCCCATGATCATAATTTCGGATGGATCTGTCATATTATAGCATACTGGCTTAAGTCAATCAAAATTAGAATCAAGTTGAATGCAAAGTATGTGCCTTACCCAGTGACAGTCGGTGGCGAATAGAAGTACAGCAAAAGTTAGGGCTGATTTCTGTTGCTGAGCCACCGTGAATCGATTAACAGTCATTGATGTTAACGCGTGAAGTTTGAATACCATACAAAATTAGGTTACGCTGTCACTACTACAGTAAGCGTAGAGGTGATAATGTGACCTACTCTAACTTGGTGGTCAGGCCAATTCTAACAATGCTACGACCAGTTAAGGAAGATCAATTAACTTAAGACTGCACGTGCGCATTAAAGGACAGAAGATTTATAAATCCCTAGGCCACTACAAACCTGTGTAGTAGCAACTGCATATTGCGCACGGGAATATCCAAGTTGAAAGTTTCAAGTCATTTGAATAAAGTGGATTTCATCCGATAGCCTTTTTCCTACAAGGAGATGCGAAAATAGAGGTCTTGTGCGTAGACAGAAAACGAAGTCGAGGTACGAATCCTTCCTGAATTATGGTGTTCATGAGGTCTTGTTAGTGAGCTAGTAAGTCATATATGTATCAGATCTAAAATAAACAACCCATACAAGGCTAAGACAGATATTTATGGCTGTCCTTTAGTGGCATTCGGTCCATTGTAACTGCAACCACATCGGTCTGCGTTTGTGATGTGGAGGAAGCTTGTGGTCCAGGCTGCAGAAATTCTTCCCCGATTATTAGTTCATTTATTTCTGCTACTTGCTATGGAAGAGAAATCAAAGCTAATTGATATTAGAGGAACTAGAAGGAAAATCATTGTATTGTGGTTGTGCATATATAGGATTATCACCATTCTGTTTCATATGTATTCATATGTATCAAAATGATGTACAGTTGTGGCAAAATACAAACACCATACATTGAAATTTCAATTGTTAAAACTTCTCTGCATTATTCTTTCGTCCTTCTTTCATGCTTTCATACGATGGCCTTTCACTTCTCATCACCTCAAATTTATCTGTCATTCTGCTACCCAAGGTTCTTGCAGAAGACAATGCACCACACACCACTTGTAGATTCTTGTATGTAGCTCACCCTACACAATTCTTCCTTCACCCTTTTCGCGGTGCCCAAATGTAGTCAGGCGATGGAGGAAGCGTGTTCTCGTTTATTTATTCAGTCAGTTGTGTAACAACGGACGTAAACATAGGGCAGACCGTGAGTAACAAGTCAGACAAAATGCCTTCTAAGCGACTTCCGAAACCAAAGGGAATTGCAGAGTCTCTGGACACTGCCATACTGGAATTCAAATTTAGTGCTATTTTATGCATGGGAACATATTTTGAAAACAGATATTTAGAGATTTCCATTTCGACTCACTTCTGGAATCTGTAAAGGTAATGAAAGCGTTGTTAATCTGAGAAAATTTACGAGCGTCCCTGAAATGAATGTACTTAGGTACGCACTTAACCATTGCCTCAACCAACCTTTAAGCACCGGCAACAAGAACATTCAGTTTAGGTGAAAAGTGCTTTGAAAAGAAGTGAATTTAAGTACACCAGATGTCAACTTTATCTAAGGAAAATATCTTGGGATTTATCTCCCCGACGTGGCTGAGCTAGAGACTATGAGAATGTGCTTACTGCCTACAATACTGGTATCATCACTGGCAGCCAGTGTCTTCACAAATATTGTTCTTCTGACTGGCATTTATGGTTTTTGCTGCGTTAAATCTGCAGAATGATGCACAATGAGGGGCTGTAATTGAAGCAATCCTCATTGTAGCTAAGATTCACCTTTTCAGTTCTCGTTATTCGCTGTCAGAGGTGAAGACAACTTTTTATTGATGGAGAAATTTTAAACGAGGCAAGACAACAATTCGACAGAGTCCCCTCCAGGGTTAACAGAAACCACGTAGGATATTTGGAAGGAAAGAACATATGGTGATAGACCAGGGACAGGAAACCCTGTTCCACCACCAGGAACCTGGTATAATGTCGTCAGTTAATACTATACTAACTCGTAAAATAAGTACATAATACTGAAGATGTCAATTCATTTAAACTTAAGTTATTTTTTCCCGAAAACTGTGGGACGGAGTTGACTTTTGATACACTGCATTGTCTGCGTAAGGTTCAATGGTTTTGTTTGTTGCTACCACGTTACTAGACTTAGTGTTTTGCGTCTCTTTAAGCTGTAGAAAATGTCAGATACTTTTGATTGTACAAATACTCGTATGAATAGTGGGAAACAAAAGCAAAAGAACAACATGTAAGTACATTTAAAAATAAACTTCATAATATAAGACTGAAAAACTTTGGTTTTCTAGTTCCTCACATGTCTGATTTTGAATGTGAGTTGCAAGAACTTCTAATCGAAATTGATATGCTGATTGAAAAAAAGAAATGTGATTGGCAGAAAGACCTACATGTCCTCGAAAAAAAGTTAGCAGTGAAAGTTAAAGAAAATAACAGGCTTCAAGACCTTGTTGGTGAAAAAGAAAAAGATGTAAGGACAGTATTTTTCAACTAATGTTGTCACAGTTACAAAAAGCCATCATGCGTCTAAACTTATTTGAATCTAAACATTCAAACACTGATTGTGAGAAACAAATTGAAGAGCTGAGTTGTAAGATCGATGCAATGAAGGCGAGTTATACTAATCTTCAAAGAAAATATCAGAAACAATTGATTGCGGAAAAAAGTGACTTTTCGTCGCATCTACAGAATCTTGAAAAAGAAAATGAAGCACTTAAATCAGATTACGAAAGACTGAGGTATTTTGCTATAAACTGTTGATACTTATGTTCGTATACATTTAAATATAATTTTTGAAGAACTAGATGTTAATATCGTTTAAGATCCCAAGCTCAAAGTTACAAAAAATGGCTAAAGCTTGAGAAAAGTGACCCAAGAGGAGCTGGAAGGGTTTCTGATGAGTTCGGTATAATCATGTCTTTGATGGTTTCTGAAACGCGGATATCCTCACTGGTGTCTTACTCCTTGTGTGTTTATTCACCTACAGGTGGGATTCAGATTCATTTGATGAGCTGTCGTATTATACCGTAAGCGTATGAAGAATGTTTCGAGTGCTGGCGTCATGTATCACTCATATTTGTGCAGCTGTAGAATAGCTTACCCAAAATGATCGAACTCATTGGTTACAAACAGCGTATTTCAGAGATACCCTGTGTTGTCATTTTTATCTAGATTTTGATGCGAACCTGGTGGCTAAAATTCAAACGATTTTGCCAGTGAACCACACCAACAGAATTAATGTCGATGATGTGATTTAAAAGTCCTTTTCAGTTTTGCTGATAAGTTCATTTCTTATGAGAATCGAAATTATAATCATTATCCATAATATTCATTATACTATTCGTTGTCACATACCTTTATCACCTGTAAGCGGGAGACTGGATGTGTTTTCGTTTCTTAATTTTGTGGCGTGACTGCAGACTATTACTGAAGTGGGTCGAAACTATTCTCAGTAGCACTGGTTTATTTACTCATAGTCTTTCAAACATTAAATTTTCGTTAATCGCGTATTTATTCTTTATCCCGTATATTTCTGTTTGTTCTAGTTTCATTGTATTTTTGTTCTCTACCTCATGCATGTTTTACAAAGTGTTGTTACGTGAATTTCTGCACTTTTTTCGTTTTACGTTGGTATCCCAGTCAGTCAGTCATAAAATTGCCTAGTCTGTAAGTAAGTACCGATAAGCAAACAAAATCAAAAGACTGAATTTCTTAAACGCGTGCTATCAAATGCTAATATATTTGAATTGTAAGTGGTGGAAATCGTTTCAGTAGAAATTTTGTAAATTATATGGTTGTTAACGACTGAGCAAGTAGCATAGTGGGAGCGCGAAAATGGCGGTTGTGCTTGCTTTAAACATCTGGAAGCAAACTAATACTTAATTACCGTAATATTTACTTTTATGTTAGACCTAATTATACTTTTGCGAGAGGTGCCCTAAGGAATATCTTTTCTTTTCGAAGTTAGAGAAATATTTACTGTTTTTTTAACCCTAGGAAACAGTTGTCAGGCGGACACGTACGCTCTTTCCGTAAAGTTGATGGCCTAGTTGATGTGTCTGTATCCACAGCTAGTGCAACTATGAACATTTATCCAAAAGTAAATCATTGAGTTTAAACACAACCAGTCTTACCATAGTAATGGAGACACTGTCAACGTATAGTTACTGATCTTTAGGCTACAGAAATTATACAAGAGGGAAACTGATACACGAGTATACGAAAAGTGTTGTTAGTAGTGCCACTCCAAACCAACTTTTGTCTTAGGGGAAATAATGGAAGAGTATAGCGGATGTTAAACAAAATCCATGCTAATAATTAGGTGGATAGAAAATGTAAACAATAAATACTTATTTACCTTCTTTATATCTCAAGGTATTTAGACGTTTTACTATTTCGCTATTTTTGCACATTATTTTAAATACTTTCTAGAATAACTTTGAGTAACAACTATGTGTACAAGAATATAGCACATATTAGCATAGTGATCGGGTATATTTTAGAAATGTTTGGAATACTAATATAGTGTTTAAAGTGAAATGGGTCTAAACAACAAAGTCTACATACCGTATACGCTAGTTTCCATGCTTCGTGATGAGTGTCGAGGGGAATTTTTAGTTCAACTAGCGCTGATATCATGAAGAGATTCAGCCTGTTAGACAGTATAGCAGTTCACTTAGTTGATGTTTATTTATTTAATAATTATTCTGTTTAGTTTAGACGTAATTGATCTCTGGTGCCCAGAAGGTTACTACAGTATTGCCATTCTATTTCTGTGTTTTAAGTTTTTGTGTGCTGTTGCGATTTAAATATTCTTTTCAAACCTCGTTGAATTGTCACGTATTTGTTCCTTCTCGTTTGTGTCTTCCTTATATTTGATGTTAGTTCCACATATATATCTGATAGATCAGTTATTTTGTGGCCTATCCACCACAAAAGTATGCTACCAGATGCTTAGAGACCATTCATTGTAGAATCTTGCTCACCCGTGATTACTTGAAGTTATGTTAATATAGACAGATTGATATTAAATAATATTTTATCATCATCTGGGTCCACGGTTGTCCTAAATCTCTCATCTCCTCCAACTAGCACCATCTCCCCCATGTCAATCACTCGTCGTTTCCCATTGGGATTCCATGCGAACAATGTCCTGCTTGCCGTGCGATGTCATTCGACTGTCTCCTCAACGTATACCCGATACGTCTGCGTTTTCTCCTACATATTTATTGAGCGATCAGATCTTGCTTGTTGGTTTTTTCCCAGTCAAAGTTTCTTGTTGCTAACTCTTTCTGGTAGGCCGGGTATTTCATCCTCAGTATGGAGCCACCGAAGGTGGCAGCTGTTGACAAAAGCCTTTAACTTGCTGGAAATCCTTTTCGTGACGTACTGGCCAAGTTTCTAACCTGTATGCAAGTAGTGGCTGACTTCACATTTGTGCTGAAAATCAGAATCTTGTTCTTTACGCGGAGGAGGAGTGCAAAAGATTTCCAAACTGATTTCAGAGTGATAAAAGCGTATCTTGCTTTTCTGATTCTGGCTGGCCAGCTTTGACGTCTTCACCCGTTCCTACAGCCTGTGGTTGAAACAGTGCTTCCTAGATAAGTGAAGGCAGGAACTAATCTCTGTTAAATCTCTTTCGTTGATGGTGATTGGTACTGATTGTTGTTGCTGTCGGCTGGTTGGTTATTTTCATCACATCTGTCTTCTGTATATTCACCTGGAGTCCTGTCTTCATTGGTTGCTTCTTCAGCCAGTTTGTTGCTTTTTGCCTGTAAGTTTTCGAGTTTGTGTGACATTAAACATGCGTCATCTGCAAAATCCAGATTTTCTAGATGGAGTCTTCTTATCGGTCGTCCAACGTATTCCTGTCTTCTCACTACCCACATTTTTCCACCTAATCCAGTCTACCACAATTAAGAATACTTATAGAAATTATAATAGCTAAGGAAATGGACACCAGATGTACAAATGAGTAAAGATTAATGAAAACATTCCCATTTTAAAAGGTGGTTTCCTGTATCTCTGTGTGTGTCCACGTTTCTTTTCCGCTATATCACTGAGGTTAATCATCGTTTATTCCTTAGAAACATTTGTGTTGTCTAAATTTGTTTTCATTTTATAACATTATTTCGTTGTATACATTCAGGCAAAAGAATGAACAAACAATTTCATCATTGAGACAACAGCTAGTTGAAGAGAAAAACTGCAGCCTTAGTATCCAGAGACGCTGTGATGAACTTCAGTCACAACTTGAAAGTAAAACAAAAGAAGAGGTGAATCAAAAGAGCGTTACCGAAGAGTTAGAAAAACAACACAAACTAGCTCTGGGTGAACTTGAGAAACAGTTAGAAGAACAAAAGCATACAATAAAACATCAGGTTTGTTAAACTAATCCCTTAATAAATAATTGTTTTTTTATATTTTTAGGCTGAAGAATTAATGATTGCAAAGACAACACTTAAAAATAAGACTTCTGAGATTCATCGTCTTTCTCATGAAGCTGAATTAAAGAAAACTGATTTGATTAATTCTCAAAAATCTGTTAAACGATTAGAGAAAACAGTGGCAAGGCATTTAAATCTACTCTTGAGTCAAAAGCAGAATTCAGCGTCTACTTCACCGTGTAAAAGTACAGGTGTCATTTCACCTACTGCTGATTCATCGTCTATTTTACCAAGACATTTAGAACAACCTTCAGAGGATCAAGAAGAAATTAATCAAAAAGTTCGATATTTAGAAAAGCAATTGAATGAAGCTAACAATGCACTGATAGAAAAGATGCTAGAAATTAGGTAAGCAGTAGAATTATCATTCTTAAATCCAACTTTTATAGTCCACTGAACGTCCACCTCATCTTTGCGTGGGACTTCTCAGCAGTACACACCTATGATCCAGCCAGAGACAGAACCAAAGATTTACTCACTAATGGTACTGGCTGGCTGTAGCGTTATACATTTCGCGAATTAATGAACACTTGGATTCTGTCCCAGTGGCTGAATGATAAACAAGCTCGCTTTGTTACCTGAAGGTCCTGGGTATGGACTGTCGAAAATTTTCAAACTAAGACGAAACATAAGCATAAGACGAAACACTTGTTCAGTACTTTCTGGCTTTTAATGGCTCATTAACTGAAGTTAGGTTTTTGAAAAATTTGGAAATCAGTCTAATTCCTGGGAAACAACACCTGTAGGAGTATTGCTTTTGTAGGGATTTGTGTTTGATTGCATGGAGGATTTCATCATGAGGTGACATCAGTTAGAGAACCACTGGAAAACCAGCACTAGAGTACTGAACAGCTGTTTCGTCCTAGTTTGGGACTCTTCAGCAGTTTACGCCAAGTGTCTGGTCTAAAATTTAGAGGCTGCATCATTCAGATTTTATTCAGGTAAAATCGAAATGCTTTTTATTAAGGAATTTTAACTTTATACTGAGATGTTCCTCAATATTTTGAAGAATGGATTCTTAGGAAATGATAGTTATCTTAAGTATATTGTGGAACTGGAATGCCTAATTCACTTAATCGACTAATTAATTCATTTTGATGCAACACTAAATAGATTATTGCATAGCCGTTTTGTATTAGAAGTAGAGGTGTAACTCGCTGGTTCAAGCGTTCACTTTGTTTCTTCACAAAAGTGAAAAGGCTAATGCGAATGTCAGACTGTCGAAACCCCTGATTCCAAGCCTTACAGTGTTCATGGGCTCCAGAATCCCAAGGGTTGAATGGCGCATGAAGTTGTTTAGGTCAACGTTAACTATAGGAATGCTACTCCACTGCCTTGTGGGTTAGACTTCAAGTGAAAGGCTTTGGGGGTGGTCCCTTAAGACAACCATATGCTTGGACGTAGGTATCCAGGAGGTATCCCATTCCTTGAATAAACTATGAGATTTTGTGTGGCGTATTGATCAAATCGCCACTCTACGGATCATCATTGAACAAAGCTTGGAATGGCAGTCACCTCTCTATCTCAACTTCATCGACTTTGAAAAGGCCTTCGACAGCGTCGATCGAGAGGTCATTTGGAAACTACTTCGCTACTACGGGGTCCCATCGACAATTATACACCTCATCCAACAGTTATACGACAATGCTGCATGCCAAGTAATCCACAACGGGAAACTTACGGAAGCCTTCGAAGTGAGGACGGGAGTGAGGCAAGGCTGTCTACTATCACCAATGATCTTCCTGATTGCAATTGATTGGATAATGCGACAGACAACGGCAACCAACGAGGGAACAGGCATAAAATGGACTGACACAAAAGACTTGGAGGATCTGGATTTCGCCGATGATATATGTCTGATTTCCCATAAACTGGAAGATATGCAAGTGAAAAGTAACAAGTTGGCAGAAGAAGCATCAAAGATAGGACTTCACGTGAACATAGATAAAACAGAGATAATGAAGATTCCTAGCCAACATCAACAACACCAACAGACCACAATAAGCATAAATGGGAAGAACCTGAAAGAAACAACCTCCTTCACTTACCTGGGAAGCATCGTCTCAACTACAAGCGGAACTGACGAGGACATCAAAGCCAGAATCGGAAAAGCAAGACAAGCTTTCATTACTCTCAAATCTGTGTGGAGGTCAACAGCAATCAGCATCAAAAATAAGATCCGGATTTTCAACTCCAATGTGAAGTCAGTGCTACTATACGGATCAGAGACTTGGCGAGTCATAAAGAGCATCTCAAACAAACTTCAAACTTTCATTAACAACTGTCTCCGCTCAATACTCAAGATCAGATGGTCAGCCGGAAAAGATCAGAAACAGGGATCTCTGGGAGCGAACCAATCAGGAACCGATTGTGAAACAAATAGGCAGAAAGAAATGGAGATGGATTGGCCATACGCTGAGGAAACCATCAAGTGACATCACTAGACAAGCCCTCGAGTGGAACCCGAAAGGGAGGCGGCGAGTTGGTCGTCCAAGGGTGACTTGGAGGAGGTCATGCGAGGAGGAGATGAAAGCATGTGGACAGACCTGGAGCAGGGTGAAAAAGTTGTCAGAAAACCGAAGTCAATGGAGGTGCGCAGCTGAAGCCCTATGTTCCTCTAGGAACTAAAGGATACAATAATAATAATAATAATTGCTCGGTGCCAATAATGTATCAAATGTGTGTTTGAATAATAATAATAGACAAATTCTGCGGAGAAAATTTTATTTTTCGACGAAATCATCTTCAGAGGCTGTGCAGTCGTATTTATACTTACAAAAAAGATATAGCGGTCTATTATTGAGTAATAGGTGGTGACATAATGGATGTAATTATTCAAAGTGGCTTTAGAAGTCAAAATTAAAAGTTGTCGCTACTGCCAAATGGCTCGCAGACATCCTTCTACCTGTCAGAAATAATCTCTGCAAGCATAATGTTTCTGATTCGTTTGAATTCAATAAGCGATGCTAGTGTATCCTGGAAGAAAATGATATCCATGGATGATACTTCCCTTTTCACCAGCGTTACCCCCACTTAAACTATTTGCTTTATTTGCAAATTCATTGAGGATAATAATGTAGGCATGTGTGTTCCGATCCACTACGTAAAGGAACTACTGTTGAGGTTCACTTTAAATGTCTAATTCAAGTTTGGCAGCACGCTTTATAGACAAAGAGACAGAGTGTCGATGGGGTCACGATTGGGTCCTTTACTTGCAGACTGCTTCTTGGCAAGTTTGGAGAATAGTATTTTACGGCCTACTATCGATAGTTTCCATTTGTACCAAAGACGGCAATAATGACATCGAATTGATAACTGAAGAGTTCAGCCGCTGCCATCATGCCATCCAGTTCACAGTGGAATAAAAAATGAACTCGGAATTCCATTTTTTGGACATTGTTCTTAAAAGAAGATCTGATGGTTCTCTTCAAAGATCGATCTACAGGAAAGCAACATGGAATGGTCAGTCTACAAATTTTGAGAAGAAAGAGAAATCTGATCCACTCCTTATTCTGAAGAATAAGGAGGATATGTTCCAGTGATACAATCGATGGGGAACTAGGGCGACTCAGACAAGTCCACATAGACAATGGATATCCTCCAAGATTTATCGAGAAAAACATGAAGTTAAGGGAAAAGCCTGAAAGAACCCAGATGGTGCCGAAGAAACTGCTATTTATAAATGTTGAATTTAAAGATGATACCGCAGCTGAGATCCTGAAGAATCGCTTATGCAGATGACTGAGGAAAGTCTTCTTTGTGGCTGAGCTACGCATCAATTTCTACAGCCGACAAATGATCAATGGATGTGTGAAGGATAAACTACCGCTTTGGGCCACCTCAGTGTGTGTTTAAAAATTTACCTGCTTGTGTGGAGCTAAACATATAGGCCGCACAAAGCGCACACTTTCCAAGCGCATCTGTGAACATTATCCGGCATGGTTAGCAAAGGGAAAATGCAAGGCAATTACTGGCTCAATTCTCGAGCATTTGGTGAACTCAGGCCACGTAGCTCAACCAGATTGTCTACAAGGTGAGGCCAAATGGTACCAAGGGCGTCAGGTTTCGGCTTTTTTATATAGCGGAGGCGCTGGCAATTCGTCAATATAACCCCGAACTCTGTATGCAGAAGAAGTTTGTCCACTCTCTTATTCTACCATGGTCTTAACCTCTTCACTAGTCGTTCCCTCTAAAAAGAAAGTTTATCTTTTTTTCTTTTTTAATTTTACTTTTAGTTTGCTTTTACTTTAATAATTAATTCACTATTATTTCTGTCATATCTTCCTTTTGTACATTTTCACACCCTCTTCACACCTGTTAAATTGACACTCAAATACCTTTATTCCCACTCAATAGCAACTTTAACCTAATGAAACTTCCGTCTTTGTGCCTTTGAGTACTACGTAATATACAACTTTTAATTTTCACTTCTAAAGCCACTTCTGAGTAATTCTATCGATTATGTCACCACCTATTACTCAATAATAGACCACTATATCATTTTTGTAAGTATAAATACGACTGTACAGCCTCTGAAGATGATTTCGTCGATAAAGAAAATTTTATTCGCTGAATAATAATAATAATAATAATAATAATATTCGGTTTTAGCAGGTAGGTCACGAGTTTAGACCTTACCCCATCCGCTTCAATCTGAACAATCAAGTAACACAGTTGTGTTCTAGGTTAAGAGGTCAGCTGAGTTTATCCTCAGTGGAGACATACTTCTGTTTCATTCAATGGAAGGTCTCCATATGATGTACTTTCTAGCAGTCTTGTTATCTAGCTTAGCTTAATTATTGTTGATCGCATTCTCAATTCTGAATTAGCTTTATGTATTGACTGTATATTCCTACCATGGTGTATTTGACATATTTGGTGGATAAGATGAATGATACGCTTGTGTAAGTTCACAATAAAAATGCATTCGTCGAGTTTCTAGATCAGTTAAATTTAAGCGGTATAGTAGGTGGTTAGGAATCATCATCATTAATTGCTTGATGCACAAAATGTATTACGGTTACATAAAAAATTACTAAAATTGCACGCTCTGACCAAGAGACTTTATTGTGTCTTGAAAAATAGATTCTAAGCAAATTATTTATTTTATTTCTTTGCATTCCGATTGGGAAATAGGGTTTCAAAGTTGAGCTGTGGTATTAAGGCATTCAGGCATAACTCAACCCCTCCTCCGCTTACAGTTTGTCAACTCGTGCATTTTACCTATTCTTCCTTACTGTTCACCTTTATTCTTCCTTGGATTGCTTAGAAAAGACTGTGTGATATACTTCGTAGGACTGTGAAGACTGTCAGTAGGGCGAGTGGTATCCCATTGGGCTGTATATATATAGTTGACATCGTCATTAGATAGGCACTTAATTTCATGCAATGAATTTGTTAAAGGGATTTTGTCAGACTGTGAGCATCCACCGCAGAACCCCGAGCTTCCATCCTGTGTCTTCTAAGGTAAAACAAGAAGTCATTTCAAAAGAGTTTATGTGCACACGTCTGTGTATAAAAATTCCATCATACCATATTTGGCATTTTTATATGATGAAAATAGTGTCAAGGTCTAACTAACTAACCTCCTTTGCACTAGTTAATAAACAGTTTTTGATATGTATCCACATATATATATTTATGTGTGTGTGTGCATGTTGGTCTCTCTTTCTGTTTGCTCGGTTAGTCTGTGACCACTTCACTTGTATGAACCTGTCTCCTTTATCAATGTATATTCCATTTATATATTATATATAATATGAGTGTTTGTTGACAGTCCGTTGCTTGGTGACATATATCCATATATGTTTGTTGACATGTCTGCTATATTCGCTATGTATATTTGGATCGACACTTCATTATAATTAGCCATCCATGTTAAGACTGTCTAATGATTTATTCCCACGCTTTGTCTGGAACATTCATATATATTTCGCATTCACAATCTTGTGACTTGACTTTACTTACTTACCACTTTGGTGTGAGACCATTTATTTTCGTCTCCTTGTGTTTGGACAATAGAAGTATCATCGAAAACCTAGTGGTCTTCTGATTTCCGCCTTCTCGCGTCAGGACTATTAGTTTCTCGACCAGACCATAACAATAATTTAGCGACGAGTACATAACAGTTTTGTCTATCCTTATACCATCAACCTTTACTGTTATTTTCAAGTATTGGTTTTGTAGGGATTTTTTGTTTTTGTTTGATTGCATGGATGATTTCTTCATGAGGTGACATCAGTTAAAGAACCAGTGGAAAACCTGGGAGTACTGAACAGCTGCTTCGTCACGGTTTGGGACTCTTCAGCAGTACGCATACACCGCCAGGGTTCGAACCCAGGATCCTCTGGTTACAAGGCTAGTGGTTCTCTAACTGTTGTCAGCTCATGAAGAAATCATCCATGCAATCAAACAAAAACAAAAAATCCTTACAAAACCAATACTTGAAAATTCATCTGATGCTCACTAGTGACTGGCCCTATTCAGGCGGTTAACCTGGGGTTCTAGTGGGAAGCCGTGACCAGTAGGGTAAAGCAGGTTGAAGATGAGGCAGTAACTCATCGAAGAAGACATTGAGAAATGGTCGCGATGTGTCGTGAATTGGAAGAAGTTAGAATTCATTGCCTAGCCATTGGATCGGGTGAGTCCCAGTAGCTCAATGGTCTACGAGCTACTTCGCTTTGTAACCAGAAGGTCGTGGGTTCGAATTGCGCCCAGTGGGTGCGTGTTAGTGAAGAGTCTCGAACTAGGACGAAACAGCTGACTGTCCAATACTCTCAGGTTTACTGTTATTCTTCCTCTTATTATATTAACAATCCCTTCTCATTTGTAGACATTATTTAGGCTCTGTAATAAGTGTTAGTTTTGGTTTTCCCTCACCATACTATGTCAAGAGAACATTAGATTTAATACTCTGTAACATGTTCAAATTTCTTAACACTATAGACAATACCGTTTGAAACATTTGTGCTTTGCACATTTTTGACTTTATTCCTACCGTAAAAGTGGACAGATTCCTGTAGTTAATTTTATTTGTATTTCGAGTAAATTAGATGCAATATTGTGTGACAAATGCTGAAAATTCCATACTGCATTATAAGTACTGTTTTTGGAATAAAGCAGATTATTATTATTATTACTATTATAGTGTAGTCCTCACGCCCAATCCCACCTCTTTACCAGGACTGCTGCTGGCTAAGCGAGGTAGAACAGTGTGTCAACCGGGGTTTGAACCCTGGACCACGTGAGGGGGGCGTGGTTGGCGACTATTCTACCATTGAACCGCCGACGTACACAGACAAACACACCGTCTTATTTCAGTATCTTCATCTTTGAGTAATCATAAATAAGACATAAAGGGCTAAATTGACTCAGCACCCCCCTCTTTTTCCTACTTTCAGTCGATTAGAGAATACATGTCAAACAGCATCTGCAACAATTCGTCGTTTAGTTGAATCTAAAGCCTATTCTACTGGACAAACTAAATCATTGGAGGCATCTATTCATGAAGCGTGTGAAAGAGTTGAAAATTTTGAAGGACAATTAATGATAGTCGAAAAAGTGAGTTCAACTGTATGTTGGTTATTTTAAATTTTGTTAGACAATCGTTTTTATGATGTACATAGTGTTTCCCTTGCACTAATGAGTAACTTAAAGTCAGACTACATTTAGTATTCTTAAATGATCGTTTTAGCTGACACCTGTAGTTTTATTAGAAAAGAACAAAAACGATCCATGAAATCATGACGGTATCGGAAAACTGGCACTTAGTGATATTCTATGCATGCAATAAACATTCACGATAATTTGAGGAATGTTAAGCCACAGTGAATTAGAAAGGCATGTTGCTCCAATCCACCTAGAACACATTTCGATAGAATATATTCATGTTTATCGAATTTATGAGTCTGAAGGTATTTCTATCTTGCATGCTACCACTTCCTTGTTTGCCATTTAGGAGTACTGAATAAATTAAGACTGTTAAATCTTGAACTTTGATCGAACGATTGACGATATGATAGCCAATTGTATAAGGATATTTCCTCTACCTTTACTCAATATAAGTTTAAACGAAGCTTCTTGAATCTTGCCAAGACTAAATCGGTACAGTGATGCATAGCAGCATCAAATAACCGAACGGCATACTACTTTACGCCATCTTGTAAAAACCAAACCTTTAAATTTCTGATACTGATTTCCTTTCATCTCAAAACTGTGAAATATCACCACTACTACCTTGAGGCCAATTAAAGAATAAATCTAATAGGGCAGGGAAAAGTAGTACCTAGGTCGACTAAGGATCGAAAAATCGAGAAATTGGGATTTATAATGAAGTTCACAGATGTAAGTACCAAACTAAATAAGGCTGTATACGAATCTTTGTTGAATTCCTTTTGAATATCACGAGTTCCTTTCAGTATATTAGTTGAAATTTCCCGTGCATATACCTCTCCTGCGAATGTAATGCAAGGGGAGAGGGCAATAAACCGTGCATCTCTACAAACTTTTTGAAGTTGGCTTCTGTTTAATTTGTTCAAGTCCCGAAAACACCTTTTAGCAGATCCTTCGTATTTTTCAACGGTATTATCACGGAATAAATCCAGTATGGAAGAATCTTGACATTAACAGACAGGGATAAGACAGAACAGATGTGAGCAAGCGCTTGGGAATGTCTCCCAAGTGTATCTGTCAACTTACATTCATGAATAGCTTTGTGCGTAATTTCCACAAAGGGTTTCAACATTCTTCTACCGTAAACAAGAGGAACTCTTACAGATTCACCAATGTCATAATCAAGAGGCATGATATAGAAACGCAGGGTTTTTATTTATTTAAACTTAGATTAGATTTCTCATTAATTAAGTAGACTAAGTGTAAATGTAAACCCGATGAATAACTTTCGAAACTATGTTAAAGTCACATACAATATATACAAAATATGCTGATATGATGGCAGCTGCATTGATAGAGGTATGAAAAAAAAGTTTGTTTTGTTGTCCTCCTGACCTCCTGAGTAGAAAGCAAAGTCCCATTGTGGATAAAATTTTATTTTAAACAAAGTCTTACAGTGTTTTACACTGATATCAACTGATGTTATGTTAGATTGTAAAATAAAACAAACAGAAGAAGGTAAACTGCACCCTAGCGTTTATAAAAAGCCAATGCATTCCGCTAACAGATAGCTAGACTTCTTTAATTCATCTCATCCGTCCTTATCTGTAAAGGCAGGCTTAGTTAAGTGTGTCTCATCAGGCAAAACTAGAAGCCTATATAGAAAACTATATACTCGCACTACCAAGTACAAAAACTCAAGCATACCTTACTTATTAGCTCGTGTTCTGTGCGATACCTATAACTTATTAGGCAGTCAGTAGAACAACTGGATCTCATCTTTCCAATTCCTATCTTCTATAGGTACGTTTTCTTTCTTTGTTTTCCTTTTCTCTCTCTTTTTTTGCTGTTATGTGCTGCTTTGTTTCTTTCTTCCTTAAAAACTCTACTTAAAACATTCTTGTTCGTTCTTTCACACTCTGTATATCTCGACCTTTTTGTTACCGCTTACGCCAGTAAATATGCTAGCATCTACTTTTCTAAAACCTTCAAACGCTGTTCAGTTTTTGGCTTTGCTACCAGCATGTCAATATGTTGTTGTCATAATGAAGTGAGATTACCCTTAATCTATGTAGAATTTTATTTATTGTTAATGTACTAACTGGATGCAATACTGTAGTAAAATGCTGAGAATTCCACTCTGTATCGCAAGTCCTGTTTGGAATAAAGCAAATTATTATTATTATTATTATGTCTAACAAACCGAACAATAGCACTAAGTAGTACATCAAAAAGTCTAAATGATGAAATGAAACAGGTAAAGAAAGCGTTAGTGTTAAATAAGTATCCTATAAAATTCATTAGGAAGATCAGTAAAGGTCAAAAGCTATAATAATGACAATATCTACAGTTTTACCACATGTAGAGGGGATATCTGAGACCCACTGTAAGATTCTTAATAAAGCATGAATTAGGGTGACATTTAAACCTACAAACTCATTCAGGCAGGGACAAGCTCTACAGGTTAAAGGATTCCACTGACCCAATTATACAATATAATATAATTTACAAAATACCTTGCAATGACTGTGAGTTAAGTCAACTACATAGGTCAAACCACCAGTAGATTTGGGAGTAGTCGAATAATGAAGAGAAGGGTTTCTTGTGCTTTTTCGAGAGGGGAGGGGGTGCAGTTATTAGTAAATATTACTGTGTATACCACAGTGTGAGACTTTATCAAAATAAAAGTTTTATCCACAATGGAGTTATGCTCTACCATAGTGTACAAGTTTTATTCTTATATATCAACGATACAGAAAGTAAACTTTATCTAAGTCTCAATATATTGGCTGATTTGGTAGACGCAATACCAGACTGAAAAATATGAGCTTTTATCATTTTCAAGCAGAGTGACACACACCAGTCCTTTTAGATTTACCTTTCCAACGAAATATGTGTCTATAAAAGTAGTTTGTCTCTGTCTGTCTGTCTGTGTGTCTGTTTTCGACATAGAACTTTGCACAGATGTGCACCAGTTCAAGTCGCCACACTCCCTCCATGTAGCACACAAAGCAACAGAAGAAAGTAGAAGAAGTGCAAAATAGAGACAGTAAACAGAGATGTGAGACAAAGGAATAGTGGTAACCAAGAACAAAACAGTTTCATTGGAAATCATAAGTCACAAGGTGTGGATGCATCTGCACTAGCCATTGAGAACGATTTTGAGCCATGTCACCAATTGTTTCCAACCATTGGTTTTTTCATCGTCCCGAAGACCCCAACCAGTCAGGAAGTCTACACCTTCCTACGTGGCTTAGACTAACTGTTGTTGTAGTCTGTCCTATTCCCTTACCTTCTATGGATCTGTTTCTTTTACAGAATTTCATCATGAGCTGACATCGGTTAGAGAACCATTGAAAAACCAGCTAGGAGTACTGAGCAACTGTTTCGTCCTAGGTTGGAACTCTTCATCAGTACGCACCCACCGCCAGGGTTAGAACCCACGACCTAATGGTTACAAGGCTAGCGAGCTCGTAGACCATTAAGCCACTGGGACCCTATCCAATGGCCAGGTAATGAATTCTAACTTCTGCCAATTCATCACTTAGTGCAACCACTAGCCAATGTCTTCGGTGGCGAGTATTTGTCCTCACACCCGCGACCTCCTGTACCCTACTGGTCATGACTTTTCACTAGAAACCCATTGGTTTATTATTATTAGACACAGTGATAATGATTTTTCTTTTTCACACTGTTTAGTTGCATATATATATATATATATATATATATATATATATATATATATATATATATATATATATATGTATTATTTTAGTTCACTTTGTTTTCTTAATTATATTTCTCTTTTCACTGCATACTTTTCACTTAATTTCACTGTGTGTGTGTGTGCATGTGTGTTTCTTTTCTTTTCAAGAGTTTAGTCTGCTCATTACTACTGTTACTCACATACAGTGTCAATACACATCCATGGACACTAACTTAAATTGTGTGAAGAACTATGTTGACTGACTGACTGGTTTCAACATAGACCTTTGAATAGATTTGCAGCAGTTCAAGTTGCCACCCTCCTCACTATGTAGCACACAAAGCAAGAGAGTAGAGTAAAGAGAGGTTCAAAAAAGAGATAATAAATAGAAGAATGAGGCAAAAACAGTAGTAATATGGGAAGAATATTAGTGTTTTAATGGATATAATATAGTCACAAAGAGTGGACGCATCTGTGCCATTGACAATGACGATTTTGAGCCATATCACCCATTGTTTCCAGTCTTCATTGGTTTTTACCATTTCGAGGATGCCAAACAGTGAGGAAGTCTACACCTCTTTACGTGACTGGCTGACTTAAACTAACCGTTGTGGATTTCATTGGCTGATGAAGCAATGATTTAGTTTAAGAAGCGCTAGCTCTTTTCCAACTCCATCCTGTGTCAGGTGACATTGCTCATCTAGGAAGGTGATAGGTAAGCATACGAAAAGACATGTCCTAGCCGTCTCAATCGATGTAGCCTGACAACATCATCGATTGATTTCCCCTCCTTACCTAACAGTCTAGGCCTGGCGTCAATATTACTCACCCTATTATACAATCTAACATGGGAGACAGAATGCAGGCACCTTGCCTGCCTTTTCACGTCTTCCACTTTCAGTGGCCATATCTCACTACAGCCATAAAAGAGGATGAAGTGAACTGCTGAGCAGTACACACATCCTTTGGATATCACATTTATTTCAGAGACAGTATAAGTGAGCAAATGCTAGACGAGCCTTCTGTATCCGTGCTGAGATTTTGTCAGCGATCAACCCACTGGGGCTAATGCAACTTCCCAAACAAGTGAGGTGGTCAACACGCCCAGCCACCACTTCATTCCCTATCTGTAAACTAGAAGTCAGTGTAGTCCAGTCCTGTAACATCATCTTACATTTGGTGGGTGCGAATCGCATGCCAAACGTTCGAAGATTGCTTTCTGATCCAGGTGTTCAGGAGACTCTACATTTTGTCAGAGTCTTCACCTGGGAGC